GGGCCCAGGGTTCAGTCCCTGGGCATGCTGTGCCAGCCCTACTCCTGGGGCACGCTGAGATGGCAATTGAGACTGGGTGTGGTGGCATGCACCTGTTATGGCAGCTCTTGGGAGCCTGTAATGGCAACTCTTGGGCAGCTGTAAACAGGCGGATCACTATGAGACCCTTAACACCCTGGAAACTCTTCCCTAAAATACAAAAAAAAAAGTATCAAATTTTTAAGAAATATGTATTCTTCAAGGTACAACTGTAAACACATTTACAAAAATCATAATATAACCAATGAACTTTGATTTAAATCATGATATAACTATACTCTAAGAGAAAGTTCAGGACACAACAGAATCCTACAGCAGACTCATCTTGCACAGTATAAAGCTGTATCTAAAATTGGCCTGGCCTAGTGGCACATGCATGTAGTCCCAGCACTTTCTTATAGTACCAACACTCGGGAGGCAGAGGCAGGAGCATCACTGGAAGGTCAAGCCTAGCCTGGTTGTAGCTCAGGCTGGCCTCATAGTAAACCTCCTGCCTCAGCCTCCTCAGTTCTGGGATTACAGGAAAGTTTTTATAAAGATATGAGGAGTTTTCACTATCTCTTGTAGTATAGCTTTATACCTGCACACTAGTGAACAAGTAGTCTTTATACGATTTAGGACATATTTATTCACTCATTCTCCCAATAGTTGACCATTATTTGTGTACAGGTATTTTTCTATCCTTTCTAGGAAGATAGCAATGAACAAAACAGTATCTTTAAGAAAGAGAGAGAAAGAAAGCAAGCTAGTCAAAGTCCTTGCCCTCAGAAAGCTTACCTTCAGAGAGGAATGCAAATAAAGTGTGCATGTCACATAACTCAATACTGTGCAGAAAAATAAAGGCAGAGAGTGATGGGGATACCATTTAGGAAAGGGCTAGTGTTTAGTTAGGGCTAGTGGAAGGATATACGGTACATGCTTATCCTTTCCTCTCCCCCATGTATCAGGACAGAGCAATGCTTACCTGACTTAGTTTGAGAGGTTTGGCAATTCATGTGTGTTATTACAGAAAACCACTATCAACTGCAGAATGGTATATTGCTTTGAATTTGTGTGGAGCTTACAATGAAGTTTTGCATTGAATTTAAATCATACTCTTATGTTACTTTAAAACTTTTTACCCCGAGGACAGATTTTCTTCCTTTTGTTCTTGAAGAGGCTTTTTCTGAAGACCTCTTCCTACATGGTATCCCCATCATTCTCTGCCTTTACTTTTCTGCTCACTATTGAGTTATCTGACCTTACAGCACACTTTGTTTGCATCCCTTTCCAAAAGTTAAGCTTTCTGAGAGATAGGACTTTGGCTAGCTAGCTTTCTCTGTTTCTCTTTCTTAAACAAAGATAACTGTTTTGTTCATTGCTATCTTCCTAGAAAGGACAGAAAAACACCTGCACATAAATAATGGTCAGTTATCAGGGCGAATGAGTGAATAAATATGTCCTAAGAAATATAAAAACTACTTGATCTTCACTACTGTACAGATCCAAACTTTTTTTTTTCCACATTTTAAATACATCTCTGGTCACTTGTTTATAAGAGAGCTGATTTTTTTTCAGTTTAAATTCTTTAAATAATCATTTTTTTTCTGAATAAACCAGTGCCCTATTGTTCTTCCACAGAACTCATAAGTTACTGTTGCTGAAATGAGATTGCTTTCACACATTTTTAATTACATTCTTTTATTACTATTATGTCATTAGAAGTTTTCCTTACAAGACATCAAAGAAATTCGATTATATTCAAAAGATTCCTGATTAAGCCTTAGATACTAAAATTTATTACAGCCAATCCTCATTCTCTTACTCAACTGTATTCAATATATAGCTGACATTTTAGGATAATGCAATAAATACATTTACCTCCCTTTCCAGGGATTTCACTGAAACTGAGGTTGCTTCAAACCATTGAAAGCTGAAAATAAACATAAAACCTTACAATATGAAATGGAAGTGACAATTACATTTCAAATACAGCTATATCAAACTGAAAACCTCATATTCAAAAGATACGCTCACATATCTTATTCTCAAAAACCACCACTGAAAGTAAACGAAGTGGGTAAGACACTACATTCCCAGCTTTTTGAAGGCTCAGGCAGGAGGACTGCAGTTTGAGGTTACCTTGGGCATTTTAGCAAGACACTCCCTAGCTCAGCACTACACTGCTTTCCTAGCACAAGCATGGAGCAGTACCATAAAAAACAAAAAAGTTAAATCTGGGCCAGCGAGATAGCTCAGCGGTCTAAAGCGCCTGCTTAGGCAAGCAGGCATGACAGGCCCTGCCAGCCCCACCTTCAGGGTGGACTGAGCCAGCCAAAAAAAAAAGTTAAATCCAAACTACCTGCTGCTACTCCATATAAGCAAAGGAAAATAATATTGTTAGATGAAAAACTGGCTTTAAATTTAACTCACAAAAAGAAAATTTTCATTAATTAAATTTCACTTTCCAGCTTGCTTTAAGTTTTAAAAGTTAATTAGAAATTTCTGGAGAGGCAGATGGCAGTGTATTAAATGCTGAACTACAGCATCAGTTGTTGACATAGTCCCCAACCTTTCCACTCATGTAAGCACACTACATGGCTTAATTACATAGTGTGCTTACTACCACCAAACCTTAGTTTCCTGGGCTAAAATAGACAAGACCTACAGAGTGGCAATGTTAATTACTTAGTTTATTCCCAGCCAATGAGAATAAACTAAGTATAAAGAATGTGTAAAAAGCCTTGAAATCTACAAAGAACCACACCAACATCAGTCATATTTTAATTGCACTGGAAAGCAATATGATTTCAGCAATATAGCTTATGCAAGTCTGTGAAAGAATAGGGAACCAGTTCATTCAGAAAAAAAGTGATTTTAAAAATTTAAACTCAAAAAAAAAAAAAAAATTCAACTCCCTTATAAGCAAATGACCACAGTATTTTCAGCAAACATTTCATTTAACTATATAAACCTAAAGAATAAAGCTGTTTAACCACAAGTAAACTGACTTCAGGTAGAATATTTATCTTTGGTATACTTGGAAACCAGATATCCAACGTGCATAAACATGTATATTTTTAAAACAAGTGTCTTAAAGCTTTTGTTCTCTAAGTAATAATAATTCCCTTTATTTTCAGAAGGGAAACACAAGCAATACTCTTTAGCAAATTTAAAAGTATACTCCTTAAACTTTTAAACTAACAGATTTGCCCACTTATCATTACCCTCTTTCTGGGCACAAATCTTTTTCCCCTCCTGTTTCGCAACACCTGAGGGATGGGACCAGCACCAAGGTCAGGCAGAATTAATCAAGGTATCACCTATTCCTCTAGACCAAATCTTATGTGTCTCTAACAGAATAATTTCTATACATAGTCTTCATTCACTACACACGATTACTTTCTCAACTGTAATCAGAAAATAAATGAAAAAAGCATACACTAAGAATTTAAATTCACACAAATGGCCACATGAGTACTGACTTCACAAAGTTAGTTTTTTAGTTACATTTTCCTCTTAAAATTTTGGTGTATTTACTTTAAAAAAGCATCAGAGGAGTATCCTGGAATCTTGGTCTTTCAGCACTATCTTTAATTTTCTGTTACAATCTGCAATAATTATGCAAAGTGAACAGTATTTTCACAGTACTGACCAGAAAAGTTTAAAACTGCAAATTCACTAATTGCATGAAAGTTGGAAATGGCAAAACACCCTACCATTACAAAAATTACGCTTAATTTTCTAAAAATTAACTTTAAAATAATTTCACTTTAAGTTACTCAAAATGGTATCTAAGGAATGAGGCTGAGCGATATAGATCTGGCTAAGAAGTTATTTTTAAAATCTCTGAAGCTGCATAATACACATCACGACTACAAACTTTACAGGTTTTGTTAAAATAATATTGTGTGGTTGTAACCTCCATTATAATTCTAAAGTCTCTACTAAGATAGATGTTCAGCAGTAAAAGTAACACACTGATACTTATGACTCTACAGCCTATATAAGCATAATTACCTGGGTAGAACAGGTTTTATGGCTAGCAAGCTATGATCTATGTCACTACAATACTTTGCATGCACGGATCGAAAAGTTTCCCAAAATTGTAATGGCCATCTTCAAACAGATTTGAAAAAGAGTCCATCTGACGCTAAGTATTTTAAAGTCAACTCAAGCACTGGTAGGAAAACAAAGCTCTCTACAGCAACTAAAGTGTTAGGGGTGGGGGAAAATCCAGAACACATAAAATTACAAAATAAAGCATTAATTGTTGCCTGTGTGTTTCCACTTTATAGAAAAACAGTGGTTATTAGATACTGCCTTCTGGCGCTTTCTTAACAAAAATTTGGTGCTTTCTTGCCCCTCCTCCACAGCTAACATCAGTGTCCTTTCTTCCTCATCCCTCCCAGCTCAAACAAATTAATATTTGTACTGTACTAAGGTAGTGCCTATCAACTTGCAGCTTCTTCCCAAACACGCCCACGTACACTGAAACTGGCCTGCGTCTACACAGCACAGGAAAAGAGCTTCGAAGGGGACAGGTGGAGGGGGGGAGATAATTCTGCTCCGCACAGGTTAGGCTATCTTCCAGATCCTTGCTGCTTGGTCGCGGCTCCCGTGCCTCCCACATCACCTCCAAAGCACAGTGTTTATGAGCTTCCCCAATCCAAAACCGCAGTGGAATTCCGGATATTTGCAGACAGACCTCGCAGCTTTGCAAGTGTTTGATCAGATACCGCCGGAATCTCTCTTCTTTTCAGCACGCCCAGCTCCTGGCCTCAGAGCCCGCCGAACGCAGGCGGCGTCCTCCGCGCGCAGCACGCAGCCTCTCCGCAGCCAGGGCTGGCGACGACTCGGGCTGCGGGCCGTCCCCGCAACAGGTCACCCTGACCGCGGCTTCGGGGCGCAGCCGCTCGGCCGGGGGAGGGGGTGTGGCCGATGTGGCGGGTCCTGGCCAGGCTGTGCGTGCTCCCGCTCACCTGAGGTAGACTGCGGCGTCGCCCGGCCCGCGCGGAGGACGCCAGGAGCCTACGCCAGCCGGGCGGGCACAACGAGGCGCGGGGACTCTGGGGGTCCCCGCGTCCCCCGACAGCCACCCCGGTGGCGCCTACACCCGGAAAGAGCCGCCACAGGGGGGCGCGGCCCCGGCGCCCCCCTCGGTCCGCCGGAGCTCGGCAGCCCCCTCCCGCGCCGAGGAGAGCAGCTTGGGGCCCCGGGCCCGCGGAACGGCGAGGCGAGGCGAAGCGAAGCGAAGCGA